ATAATCTACTCTTTTGGATGCAGCCCTACTTGACAGATTCATCTGTCCAAGGATCGCTCTTGTGAACTACTTACACAATGGGAATAAAATTGGCCCGTGCCAAAAAGCTGCCAATGTAGTTCCCGGTGGTTTGCCGGATGACAGCGGGAACATTTGGGTTCTGTAGCTTTTTCCAGAGATGTTCCACGAAAGCTTCTGCAATTACCTGTAGGATATAGGAGGTAACTTGGTAAGTTTTTTCCAGTTTCAAGTTTCCTTGGAATAAAGGACAAGAATATCCAGTTAAGAGGGAGGAAAAAACATAAGAAGGGAATAAAAGTTTGACCACTTACCAGTCTGAAACTAGAGAGATAGAACATGATGAACTGCACGTGACACGATCCATGGGTTGTTAAAATCAGCTTATCAAATACAGCCACCAGGTCTCGGTATAAGTCTTTGGTGTTGCCAACCTCAATTTTCCCTAGGAATAAAAAGATTTATGTTCCTACAATTATACGCTAAGACAAACGAGGAGCTTTTAAACAGGATGCTAAGTTTGCCCAGCTTTCAGAGGCTGAACGTTTTATCATTAATACGCCAAAAGGCGCTTCCTTCGAAAAGCATGAAGCTGGGAAGAATGACTGTTCTTAATTCGAAGAATTCGACGTGGCTGAAGAGGAACAGAAGTCGTGGAACTAAAGCAGGGGAATTCAAACGTGGCAACTTTAAGACTTGTGGACTTCAACTTCCAGAATTCCTCAGCCAGCCCTGGCTCAACTATGCTCAGCTCAACTATGTGGGCTTCCTGCTGCCAAACAATGCTGGGAAACTCCCCCAGGTTTTATTACCATTAACGTAGCACACATCTTTAATGTAGGAAAACATCACACTCATCAAGATGTCAAGGCGTTCCGCAATGGGGTGAGCCATGATGTCACTCTTCTCCGGATTCTCCCCATCTTCATCCTGTTAAAAACCGAAACCCGGCTAAATAGACAGCCCTCGACTGACAACAGTTCGTTTAGTGACGGTTCAAAGTGACAACGGCCCTCATGACTGTTTTTTCACACTTGCAACCGGTACAGTGTCCCAAGTGTGTGTGTGTCTATCAATATTGTTTAATGAACAAGCTTACCATATTGAAGAGTCCTTTCTCACTGTTTCCCTCTTCATCTTCTTCGGCAGCTTCAATATCTTTTCTTGGGGCACTTACCTGTTGAATTAAAATGGGATGAGCTTGAGTATTTTCGAAGTTATAGTCAAGGTATAGAACTGTATAATAAGTGAAGGGACTTTGGTGCTCTCTGAGCTTGGTTGTTTTCTCGCAGACGTTTCATTACCCAACTAGGTAACATCATCAGTACTAGGAAAGAGTGGGGTTTGTGGACAGTAGCAGCAGGAGGAGGAGGAGAATTGTGGGGTCCTTGGTGTTCTGAGCTTGTTTTCTCGCAGACGTTTCATTACCCAACTAGGTAACATCATCAGTACTAGGAAAGAGTGGGGTTTGTGGACAAGAAGAGGAGGAGGAGGAGGAGGAGGAGGAGAATTGTGGGGTCCTTGGTGCTCTCTGAGCTTGGTTGTTTTCTTGCAGACATTTCATTACCCAACTAGGTAACATCATCAGTACTAGGAAAGAGTGGGGTTTGTGGACAAGAAGAGGAGGAGGAGGAGGAGGAGGAGGAGAATTGTGGGGTCCTTGGTGCTCTCTGAGCTTGGTGGTTTTCTCGCAGACATTTCATTACCCAACTAGGTAACATCGTCAGTGCTAGAAGGAGTGAGCTTTGCTCTAGATTCCTCACTCCTCTAGCACTGATGATGTTGCCTAGTTTGGGTAATGAAACGTCTGCAAGAAAACCACCAAGCTCAGACAGCACCAAGGACCCCTCATTTCAACCCTGGTCTACAAATATTCGGCTTTATCAATGTATAACAAGCATATTCGGTTCTCTTATCTTACTGCCCAAAAGTTTAGTAAATACATACGTATCAGCATCACTTGCTGAAGAATATGAAGTTTGTAAAGTTAAAACAGTTTTCACAAGGGAACTACAGAGACTCTGTATAAAAAAACCCAATTTACAGCATTCTATACTTACATCTATTTTTAGCAGCTTCTCAACAACCAGCTCCAAAATGTCGTGCCTCAACGCTGGGATATATACGCTTATTCGCAGTATATTATGGAGGTAACATTGCTGAAATGAAAGAGTTCCCCATGAAAACACTATAAAAAGAATTAGATTAAGAGAAATAAATTTCAGGACCTTCCAATTTTTACATCCAACGTTAGAATCATCACAGATTTAAACAGCTTTTTTTTAAAATCCAGTTTTTAAGCATACTGCTCGGACCCAACAGTATGCCTATTGGAGATATTTTATCCGAGAAAGCAAGACTGGGTTCGTACATAATTGATTTATTTATGGTTTAGTAAGTTGCAATTTCTTTATTTCACATATAATGGTAAGTCATAAGCCATGATGTACAAATTAAAATCATGACACTTCTAGAGAACAGGAAAACTGAAGGAAACACGTTGGGCTCAGCAAAGATAAACAAAATCAACCATTAAATGTCCAAAGGAGAAGAAAACTTCCTCTGGAGGAACAATCATGATGACCCTTCAGGGTGTTTCTGAGCCATCGAGATCCAATCATAGATTTTCAAGAGATCTTTCAATTAAATGAACAGCAGACACCAAAAGCACTAAAGAACCCTCATTGGCAGAAAATCAGGTACTTACTAAAGTTCTTTCTGATTTATTAATAAAGGGAAATTTTTCAGCCAGCACTGGCATCAGAAATTGTGGTGTCCTACAACGCAGAAAATATAAGCAACAGATAAGCAAACCTAGCCTTCATTCATTTTGTCGTGACCAGTACAATGTTTAAGAATGCAACATAAGTCTAGAAGAGCGATTTGATGATGATTTGGTGACTTGACCCCATTGCTGCTGCCAAGAGGTAGGGTGGGGGTTATGGGTTTTTATGTTGTGGATTTTTAATATTGTAAAAGCTGACCAGAGTCACCTGTGTGAGAGCTGGGCAGCCATAGAAAATTGTTTAACAATAGGTCAGAAAATAATAAACATTCACTTTGAAGATGTAACATGGAGTGGCAGGGACTTAACACTGGATAGGATGAAGCCTTATCACCTGTTTTGTATAGGGCTGGGTTTATGGTGAGAGGTCAGGGTTTTGCTTTTTAACTGTAATATGTTTATAAGGTGGGGTATTCATATCTTTCCCAATTTAACACATGGCAGGAGATTGCTGATAATTTCTGGAATCCTGTTTGGATGGAGCCATGTAATGTTAAGTGCAAAAGACCAGGCCCACACGTGAAGGTTCAATTAAACTGATTCACTGCTAAAGGCCTATGCACAGGAATCTCCTTGATTAATGGTTGGCATCAGCTTAGAATCAGATAAGGGCCAACGGCACTCAAGAGGGTTGTGACTACGTAGGGATTCTAGGCTGATCCCCCTTTTCACTCCGGCCCTAGGTTCTGCCAATCTTTCCCCTCCCTCTGGGCAACAAATAAGCAGTTTGTGTTAGACAATGTCTTCTCCGGCCCAGAAAAAAATCAAAGATATTTAACTTACAAAGGGACATATTTCACAATTGTCTGTAAAGCTCTGTGGCAAGTGGTGAAGCTCTCGACAACATCTGCAGAGATTGAAAAACAACACATCTGTTAATCCAGAAAGATCATGGATGCAAGCAGGCTTCTATTTTAGGCGTGGTCAAGACCTTCTTCCAATTTTGAGTGCATTTTTGTTGCTACTTATATTGTGGGAGGTGCTGGCTGCCAAAGGCAATCATTCGTGTTGAGGATTGAGTTTCTGTGAACTGTGTTTTGTTTGCCTTGGACACTGACTCAGGTCTGTGAGAATAAAAGGGGTTAGTTTTTTCTTGCGGTCCCTGCCCGTTTCTTGGAAGAGGGGTTTCTTCTTGTGAGGATAACATGTAGGCTGGGACAGAACAACCACACCGAATCAAGTTAACACTCCCTTGCTACACAAACACAACTAGCAATAAAAATAATATACAAAATGGGCAGAGTACGGATAAAAGAGTCAACCAATAAATACAAAAAAACGGAAGTACTCACTTTCATCGTCGTCTGAATCAGAGATGTCCACATCATTTTCCCGGATGGTTATTCGGGCTGGGTAGAAACAGAGAGGCTTGTAAATAGTTATCTTGTCCATCACCAAAAAATCTTGCAGAACATTTTATAATCAATCAGTAAGAAACACAGCTTTCCTTAACAGGTTTACAGCAGTCTCCCACAGAGCCTTGGAGGGGGGGGGGGCTGTCAACCCAGGCTTGAATCCAAATTTCCTTGCTTTTAATTCCTATTATGAATTCTAAACTCAACAAATGAGAAACCCCAGCTGCTATTATTCCTCTGGGCAAAAAGGCAATTTTATCTACTAATCAAAAAATGAATCAGTATGTTTTTTTGGTAAGCATCATTTTGCCCTCCTTCAAAGTAGATTCATTCTATCTTAGGTGATGTATACAGAGTGTCTTTCCGTGTTTCTGTTTCTAGTTTTTGTTTTTTCAGTTGGGTAGCTGTGTCCTTTGGGATGGAGGGTTCATTTTTTTTCCTTGGCTTTTAAAATATTTCATCTTCTATTTCTTTCAGTAAAACTGGGGAAAAAAATTACTTACGTGGAACAAAGTGTGAGACGATCATCGCCAGGCATGGCCTAAGATAGATTGTCTGAGCAGACACTAAGTTACTCAGGAAAGCTAGATACTCTTCCACCACAGGCTGACTTCTCCTCAACCAGGGCACTTTCTGCGTTTTTAGAGACAACAGGATCAGAAGTTGGCGCGCCTGTTGTGTCCCCCAAATCAAAAAGCAAGAAGCGCCTCCAGTGTAACCAGAGGATTCTTACCAACAGGATGCAAATTAGTTGTTCAAACTCCTTGGTCAAAAACGTAATAGAAGACCGGAATTCAGAGAGCCAGTTAATAATCTGGTCATCCTAAAAATAGAAGCCATCATATCCTAATTACTGAATTGCACTGGCTGTCAAAGGTTTTACCTGGGGGGGAGGGTTGTTTTTAAGATAAAAACAACCCTGTGTTTGGGTAATATTCTGCTCACTAATTATACACTATAACACATAAAGAATACTAAAAAAAAATTCAGATTAATTATTTCATTCTTTTCTTAAATCTAAAGAAGGTATTTCAGAGTATTTGAATATTATGGAAATCTTACTTTTATGTCTGGATCCAACAGCTGATGCTTCAGCAAATCAAACTCAGTGGTTTTGCCCTGAAAGAGAAAACGGCAACTTTTCACTAAAGAACTTCAGAAATCCTCTTTCCAGATATAGTAATAATTCCCTCGGCAGCAGAGGGAACCCATCAGTATTAAAAACAGAAAATGTTATGCATGCATCCCATTCATCTGATGTATTTTTCCTTGCAGGCACGGCCCACAGCATTACCTGTTGATACTTCAGTAGAATCTCTGCCAAAGTACCACCGAATCTGACCGTCTTCCTTGGTGGCGATCTCAGAAATTCATCCTCAGCCAACATGTCAGAAAAGCCTAAAAAATTGCGATGTAAGTTTGGCATATGTCCATTACAGGGGAAAACATTTGATTTTGATGAATCCACTATGATAACCAACCACTGTTATTTAGGTACTTATTTATATCCTGCTTGTATTCGTTTTATAAGTAACTCAAAGCAGTGAATAAACGCAATCCTATTTTTCCTAAGAATAACTACTTTGTGAGGTGAAGTGGGCTGTGAAATAAGGACTGGATAAAGTCCCCCAGCTGACTTTGGTGCCTAAGGCAGGACTATAACTCGGTATCTCCTGGTGATTGATCTAAAGTCACCCAGCCCGCTTTCATGCTTCCAGTGGGACTAAAACTCACAGTCTCCTGGTGTCCCAAAGTCACACACCTGGCTCGTGCCTAAGGCAGGACTAGAACTCACCATCTCCTGGCTGAACTTACTAGCCCACTGGAGCTTTAACACACAACCCGTTTAGCACAGCTTGGTTAGTCCTGCTTAAAGCCATTATCTGAAGCCCACAAACTGCAATTGTGGTCAACAAGTCAGGACAGGGTACAGCTACCAAGTACAGACTGTGGCTTACAGTTCCACCTTTTGAAGGCGGTGTAAGCCAATTGATCTTGTGTTCAGGCTTTATGACAGCCTTTTTTTTTTTGTTCCTTGTTGAGATGCTCCTGTGACAAGGAGGGCTTGTTGGAGGATGCATTCAGACATATTCAGGACTGGCCATTGGGAGACCTGCATCAAGGCTAGTTGGAGAGTTTCTGAGTATTCCCATCTGCTACCTTTATCTCATGTGAATGGCTTTTAATTCTCGCTGCTTTCCGCTTGCAAGATGAGCAGCCTTGAACCTGTATTAAATCTTTGCTTCTATCAATCCAATAACAACATTGTGGAAATCAAATTAATTACATTCTGCCTTTCTAACACAATGTGTGAAATCAATCAGCGGTGTGACTATATATATCTATATCTATTACATCTATCTGTATCCATCCATCCCTATCATCCATCCATCCATCCATCATCTCTTTCTCTTTCTCTCATTTGTATCTATCTATCTATCTATCTATCTATCTATCTATCTATCTATCTATCTATCTATCTATGTTTCTACCTACCTACCTACCTACTTACCTACCTAGCCATCTATCACCTCTATCATTATCTCTCTCTCTCTCATTTCTATCAATCTATCACCTCTATCATTATCTCTCTCTCTCTCTCTCTCATTTCTATCAATCTATCAATCTCTCTATCACCTCTATCATTATCTGTCTCTCTCATTTCTATCAATCTATCTATCAATCAATCGATCATCTATCTATAATCTCTATCATTATCTATCCTGCTTTGCTCCACCCCAGTCGAGGACTGCAACTCTCCGCATCCTGCAGCCCAATACAACCGTGGTGCTGGGGATAATGGGAGTTGTAGTGGAACCAGGGCCTCGTTCTGGCAGGAGAATCTACCCTCCGAGCCTCGGCCCTGGAGGGCCAACAAAATCCCTTCGCCCAGAGCCACGTAGAAGACAGGACTCCTCGGTCTGGCCTACCTCACAAGGCTGTTGTGAAGTAGACGACACAGAAGGGAGAGAGCGAAAGACCCCCCCCCGAGCCCTTCCCCCTCCCCTTGCGGCCCGCACCTCCTCTCCCCGCTCGGCAGCTCCGCCGGCTCAGCCGCGCTCCGTCCTCGCCTCGACAAACCTCCGCCAGCGCCGCCGCCTCTTGCCCCTCATGCTCCCCGAGCGTAGAGAACCCGGTGCGCACGCAGCCACAGCCGCTTCCGCCCGGCACCGGAAGCGAAAGGCCACTTCCGCTCCGCTCCTGAAGGAGAGAGGCCAGGCGCGCCGCCTCTTCCGGCTCGCGATCGAACGCCGCGTTTGCAGGAATCTCTGGTGCGCCTGCGCAGAAACGAGCGGAGGGATTGTGCAGGGATTGTACAGTATTCAATAGGGGAGTTAATGTTTACGCTTTCCACACACACAAAAAAGAAGGCGGCTTTTTCTTTCGGAAATAAATGCAATAGCTTGCAAATAGTCAAAAACTTCAAATTTTCCACGGTATTGCATTTTTTAAAACTTTCTTTTGGTTATTTTTAGACCAGTTTTTTTTTTTAAAAAAAAAGGCTAGGTATATTTTTACAAATCAATGCAATGTATTGCAAGTCGTCAAAAGTTTCCCACGGGTTTAAAGTCGCTGATTTTAAGTTTCCCTTAAAAAGGCAAAGTACAAGTCAAGTATGGATCTCGGAGGTCAGTGGATTCCAAGGGGATCTACTTTAAACCCCCTTCCATTTGGATCCAAGTCTCAGGGTGACTCAACAGTCAGTAAAACTTTTATTTATTTTTAAGATGTGTTGTTGGGCACCGAAGGGAGTTTTATAGATTTTTTTTATTTTTAGCTTCAAAATGATGAGTGCTTTGACAATTTGGTGAATATGTTTACTATAAAATTCGGAAGCCCTAATGCTGGTCCATCTATTATATAATGGACATCAACCTTGCCCAGGCCCATAAATTAACTTTCGCTTCAGTAACTGAGCACAGTCCTTTTATGATGCAGTTCGACTGTCTCTTGAAGGCATAAATAGTGTTTCCCGGGTGTTATAAACTGTGTCAGAGAAGGTATGTTTATGTCATTTTGTGGTATCCAGTGACTTTGAGGAGTCTTGTTTTCCACGATCTTTCCACGAATTAAAGCTTCCAATCAAACCTGGAAAAGAAAACAAATTCCACGGCTTATTTCTACTACTCTTCTTGGAACGTTGCCTTAGTAAAGTAGTTATGAAATGGACAAAGTGGGAGAGGCTTGGACGAGGCTCCAGAGTTCAAACGCAGGAGTGGTCTGCTACAAACTGCCCCGCCTTTATGATTTTTAATCCCGCCTTTATCATAACCCAAGGCATTCCTAATATTCCTTCTTCCTGCTATTTTCTCCACAAGAACAACCCTGTGAGGTGGGTTGGGCTGAGAGCCAGGGACTGGCCCAAAGTCACCCAGCTGGCTTTCATGGTTAAAATGGAACTAGAACTAGAACTCACCGTCTCCTGGTGATGGGCCAAAGTCACCCAACTGGCTTTCATGTCTAAGGCAGGACTAGAATTCACATCTGCCTTCTACCATTTGTCTGAAATGGTATAGGTTGGACTAGAAGACCTCCATGGTCCTTTCCAGATTCTACTCTACTCTACTCTACTCTACTCTATTCTCTATTCTACTTTCTATTCTCTATTCTACTTTCTATTCTATTCTCTATTCTACTTTCTATTCTGTTGTATTCCTCTTCCAATTCTAATAATTCTAATTCTATTCCATTCCAGCCTGGGCTCTTATCCTACACCACTACACTGACTCTTTTGCGTAGTTTTCCTTAATTCCTTTAACTTAAGCGATTCTTTGATGTGCAGCCAGGACTGAGCGCCCTGGGCAAAGCCCGACTCTCTCCAAGTAGCCAAACAGCCAGTCATTATGACCTACCCTGCAGGGTTATTGTGCCGACGTTGGAAAGGGAGACGGTGGGCAGGGACGGGGGCGTGCTGGCTCTTGCAAGGCCCGGATCGGATGCCCCGTCCTGGGGGGGCTGGGAGGGCTGGGACTGCTGGGACGGCTGCTGCAGCTTCTCCGCCTCGTCGGGGCCGCCGCCGGTGCTGGTGCTGGTGCTGATGCTGGAGGCGGCGAAGTGGGCGCGGAGGCGGCCGGCCTGGGACGGCACGGAGGAGGAGGCGATGGCGGAGGGCAACGAGAAGTGGGTGCTGAAGGCGCGGGCGAGGAGAGCCAGGCGCCGGGCGCGCCAGCTCTCCAGGCTCCAGGCGTCGCCGCTTCGGGAGCCCAGCCCCACGTCGTCCCGCAGCTCGTCGGGCGGCACCTCCAGGTTGCCCACGTGCCAGAAGACCCACCAGGGCAGGCTGAAGAAGACGCCCACGCCGCCCAGGTAGATGAGCAAGTCGGAGACGGACGAGTCCAGCAAGCTGCCCACCAGCAGCCCCGCCAAGCCCAGCGCGTCGAAGAAGAGCGCCAGCCCCAGCGCGCACCCGCACCGGCCCCACTTGCGCCGGGGGGCCTCCGGCGCCATCCGCCCTTGCAGCAGCCCTGGGCCGGGGAGGGAGACCCCCCTACCCTAGCCTACCCCGGGGGCGGAGGGCCTCGCGTCATCCCCCTGGAGACGCCCACCTGAGCGGGGCGCACCTGAGCGAGGCGCGCCTGGAGCCCCCTGCGCGCCCAGTTGGCCAGGGAGATGGAGGGAGGGGAGGTGCCCACTCCTGCTTGGAGGACCAGCAGGTGGGAGGCAGGGCAAGCCCCCCCCAAGTTGCAGGGGGGCACTCCCCCTTTCCTCCCTCCTTGGTCACTGAGCTGCAGGTGGGGCTCACCTGGAGCTCCTGCGCTGAGGCAGAGACACATCCCTTTCTCCCCAGGTTGGTCACCAAAATGGAGATGAGACATGTCCACTTATGCCTGAAGCCTCACCTGGGGTAAGGCAGGCCACAGCCCCTCACACCTTGTGGGGACATAGGTCCCTTTTTTCACCTGGCTGGTCGCCTTTCCCCCTAGTTGGTTACCAAGATGTACTCACTCTCACACCTTGGAGGGCTATGCACTTCACACCTGCTAGGACACCATTCCCCCATTCTCTCCTAGCTGGCCAAGATGGAGACGAGAGACGCACATACTTGTGCCTGTTGGGATGAAGGAGGGCCCTGCCCTTCATACCTGCAAAGACAGGCCCCCTTCTCACCTAGTTGGTTACTGAGACAGAGACAGGATATGCCCGGGCACACCTGCAGCTCTTGTGCTGAAGGAGGGCCATGCTCCTCACACCTGAGATCCCCCTCCCCCGTTGACCACCATGGAACCCTTCACCTCTGGAGCACTGAGGCAGGACCACATCCCTCACACTGCAGAAACCTGCCCCCTTCTCACCTAGTTGGCTATCCAGATTTTTTTTTTAATTTAGAAAAGCCTGTATCTTTGTATGAAAAAGGTTGTAAATTGTGCAGCATCCTAGATTTTTTTTTTTTACATTCACCAAATTCTAAAAAGGGCAAGAGGGAGAAAGATTGAGCCTGCCTTTCCTTTGCACTGAAAGTTATTTGAGAAAGGTAAAGATGTTTTATACGGTCCGTTGGTTTGTATAAAGGTCCAAATGTGTAAAGCTGGTCCTAATTCTGAAATGTGATTATATACGCAACAGGAGATTGTCACATTCATATCTAAATCCAGACGGAAAAGGCTTTGGAAAATTCAGCTTCAGAGAACAGAATAAAATAGGACATTGTTTTATTCCCACAATGAAAAAAACAAAACACAGGATGTTTTACAAGTGAGCCAGCATTGAATAAACGTCTTCTTTGCCAACCTTGCTTTGATTCTTGGTATGAAAATAGCCCATTTTCCTCCGCTCAAAGGGACAGCGGCAATTTCATTTTTCTCAGTTCCCGTTTGGGGGTTTTAGGTTTCTTGTCTGATTTAGGAGCTTGTAGCCTTTTAAGAACCACAGTTGGTTTCGCCAAGGGCTGCTGGGCATCCTTGCTCTGCATTTTTCCCAAAAACTCTTCCTTGGGCATCTTGGATTTTCGACCAGACCTCTGTTGATTTGATTTCTCTAAGGCTGTGGCCTCTTCGGGTGTTTCTGGCTGTGAAACAGGAATCTCTGCCAAAAGAATGCTCTTTCTTTTGCTACGGAGCCTCGGCAAGTCCATCTCCAGTTGGTTTTTTTCACTCAATCTCAGTTTTGCCACCTATTTGCAAGAGTGAAAACCAAGACAGAAAGACACATTCAGAGAAAAGCTGGCTGGGGAATTCTGGGAGTTGAAGTCCACACGTCTTAAAAGTTGCTAAGGCCAGGAGACACTGCACTAAATTGAGAAGCTTTAGGCCAGGGGTCTTCAAACTTGGCCTTTATGACTTGTGGACTTCAACTCCCAGAATTCCTCAGCCAGGCACGCTGGCTGAGGAATTCTGGGAGTTGGAGTCCACAAGTCACAAAAGGGCCAAGTTTGAAGAGCCCTGTCTTAAATCTAACAAACAAAATGGAGGTTGGCTGAGGAATTCTGGGAGTTGAAGTCCACAAGTCATAAAAGGGCCGAGTTTGGAGACCCCTGCTTTATGCCTTTCCCTGTGGAGGAGATCAGTTTTTGGCACAATTCAGCTGAGGCGAAATAAATACCTGCTCCTCCTTTTTCTCAGCGGGTTGCGTTTCCATAGGAACCAGTTGTGGAATGTCTTCCTCTTCTTCCTCTTTTGATTCCAGGGCAGTGGGTTCCACCCCGTCCGTTTTAGGCATGTCAGCTTCAAGAGCCCCACTCACGTTGTCTTTCGTGTCCGCCTGACCCGTGGCCTTCGGCTTAGTCTTCCTTCTCTTTTTCTTTCTTTTCGGAGTCTTACAAAAGGAGAAATTGTTAAGGCGGCAGCCCTTCGTTTTAAGATGGGCATCGTGCTAAACAAATATATTTTGACAACCCTTCTAGTGTGGCACTTTTCCCACTTGACTGGTTGTTAAGTGTTTAGATCAGTGGTTCTCAACCTTTTCTCCACAACAGACCCCCCTTTAAATACCTGTTGTGGCCATGGACCCCCAAGACTTAACTCCCAAGATTTAAATCATAACATTTCTTCAACCCTTCGTGGACCCCGTAATGCAGGGGTGTCAAACTGCTGGCCCGTGGGCCGGACGCGTCATGCAGAAGCCGCGCCCACAAGTCCACAAGCCATGAAGGGGCCATAGTTCCCCCATGCTGGCTCAGGAATTCTGGGAGTTGAAGTTCACGAGTCATGAAGGGGCCATAGTTCACCCATGCTGGCTCAGGAATTCTGGGAGCTGAAGTCCACGAGTCATGAAGGGGCCATAGTTCACCCATGCTGGCTCAGGAATTCTGGGAGTTGAAGTCCACGAGTCATAAAAGAGCCAAGGTTGCCTATCCCTGGTCTAGTGGTTAAGGCACCAGGTTAAAAAGCAAGAGACCCGTGAATTCAAGTCCCATCTTAGACCAAAAAGCCGGCCTGGTGACTTTGAGCCAATCACCAAGTGACAATCAGTTTTCGTCCTGCCTTAGGCATGAAAGTCAGCTGGGTGATTTGGGACAGTCACCAGGAGACAGTGAGTTCTAGTTCCGCCTCTACCATGAAAACCACCTGGGTGACTTTGGGCTGACCACTCTCTCTCAGCCGCGCCCACCCCATTGCCGGCAATGGCAAAACCGTCCCAATACGTTGTGTGATGTCATGAGCTTGACATGTCTGCTGTAATGCCATTGTGGATCCCCCAGAGCTCCATGGACCACATATTGAGAACCACCAGTTTAGATGATTTCTAAGAATATTTGTACCTAATTGCCGATGATTACGGCAATGAAATATTACTAAGCTCTGCAATCAGCACAATAAAATTTTTTTACAGGCAGGAGCCTGGATTGCTGCTGAACACAGGCCAAGAGGCTACAAGACTGGGATTCACACTACAATGCCTGCTTAAATAGAGATTTTGTCACACAACATATAGGGAACAACCAGCCCCGTGAGGCTGACTGGCTGATTGTGCCGCTCAGGATCTCACCTGTTGGATTTCGGCTCCTTTCTTTTTCTGAACAGCGGCCACACCATGGAGAGAAGAGTGAAAGACAGGAAGTGCAATGGACTTGCTGGTTTTGAGGTGAAGAACTTTCACGCTTTTCCAGATCTGGAGCGACATAAAGAGGATGAAAAAAAAAAAAGCATCCGTAGTGACGTAAGGCAATCAAGCGAAAGAGCGAAGCCAAAAAATAAATCACATTAAATTGCTTTGGGAATTTTGAAATGGAATCCTGAGTATTGTATTAAGAATTGTATTAATCTAAATATGAGACAGTAAATACTAAGGGGAAAAGAGAGGAATTATTTAATATAATAGTTTGAGATCTGTACCAAAGATATTTGTATACTATTGAATTATTGATCAACTCAGCCGCCACGTTGCTTTTCAAATATTTAAATGTAAAATTAGAAAATTAATTAAAAAGTTTCAAAAAAAAAAAAAAGTTCAACACTAAATCGAGTTCAGATAAGGGTCAACAGAATTCAAGAGGGGCTGGACTTAGATCATTTGTGGCAATGTAATGATTCTAGGCTGATGACTCATTTAACTCCACCACCCACCCAACTCTGCCTGCTCTTCTCTTACATCACTGAACAGCTTTACCTGTGGAGCTTTGATAGCTACTGCTTTGGCCACTGCCATAACATTTTCAGTGATCTCTGACGCTTCCATGCTGGTGTGCCCAATGCGAACCATGCTGAAAGAAATCCAGAAATTCTTCCTGTTGGATTACAGTAGCACCATCTTGCGCTATTCTCAGGATCAACAAAGGGGCTTGAGGTCTGTATGCTATGGATGACCTACAAACTGCCCACCCTTCACAAAAAAAACTTAACCTCAGCATCATCGCATCAGAGATTCCCCATTTCCCCCCGCTTTTGGCAGCCCTCTTGGCTTGCCTGCTGCTCAGAACACCTGGACTAGAGTAAAAAAGGTAAAGGTGTCCCTGTGGATGTTACTCCGCTACTTGTTGCTGACTACAGAGGGCGGTGCTCATCTCCATTTCAAGCCACTGAGCCAACGCTGTCTGAAAACATTTCCGTGGTCCTGTGGCCAGCGTGACATCACAGAGCGCTATTACCTTCCCACCGAAGTGGTACCCATTTATCTACGCGCATTTGCACGCCTTCGAACTGCTAGGTTTGGCCGGAGCTGAGGCAAGGACGGGAGCTCGCCCCGTCGCGTGGTGCTCAGGGTTTCGAACCTGAATTGCTGGCTTTCTAGCCCAGCATCTTAACTGCTGAGCCACCATGCCCCCCCCCCCGCCCCAGGATTAGAGAGGTGCCCCCATTAATACAGGAAATAAACATTTCAGCCGTAAGATGTCTAGTCAAGCTACTTACTAGCAACTGCCCTTGTTAGTGACTGGGAGGATCGTTCCATGGATGCGCTTACTGATTTCCTTAGCTAGGTCCTTGGCTTTCAGGTCCACACAGAGAGGCGCCCTGGTATTGGAGAGAGATGGTAGGAAGTGAGATTTCCACTGCTTCAAATTCAGCGGCTTCATAATGGGCCAGACCAGGGGTAGGCAACCTTGGCTCTTTTATGACTGGTGGACTTCAACTCCCAGAATTCCTGAGCCAGCATGCTGAGGGGAAAGGGAGAGGTTTCCAAGCTGAGCCATGCTGGCTCAGGAATTCTGGGAGTTGAAGTCCACGAGTCACGAGGGGGCCATAGTTCCCCCATGCTGGCTCAGGAATTCTGGGAGTTGAAGTCCATGAGTCATGAGGGGGCCATAGTTCCCCATGCTGGCTGAGGAATTCTGGGAATTGAAGTCCACTTATCTCTTAAAGCAGGGGTAGGCAACCTTGGCTCTTTTATGACTCATAGACTTCAACTCCCAGAATTCCTGAGCCAGCCACGCTGAAGGGAAAGGGAGAGGTTTCCAAGCTGAGCCATGCTGGCTCAGGAATTCTGGGAGTTGAAGTCCATCAGTCATAAAAGAGCCAAGGTTGCCTACCCCTGGGCCAGACCAAATTAATCCCAGTTGGGGGATGATGGGGAATGTAACCCAATGTATCTAAAGGACTCAAGACCATCTGAAAGGAAAACGGAGCAAAACAACATAAATTAGGCAAGCTCCATTCCTTTTGATCTTCCCTAAGGCCCTCAGAACCTGGTTATGTCTCCATGTGAGACCCAGGAAACAGGAGCCATGTATAGATGGCTCCACCATTGATGGCAGATCTATTGATAGGTTGATCTGTTTTTAATTTTAATTCAATTCAATTTCTTTAATGTTGGCTTTTTTTGGTCGTTTTAAATACGCAGGTATACGCGTTTCATGGCAAGCTGCCCAGAGTCCCTTTTTTGTGAAATGGGCGGCTGTATAAAGCTGGTAAATAAAAAGGAGGGCAGGGATTTACTTTTTACACTGATAGAAATGTTTTCCCATCTGCGAAGGTAGCAATCTTCTAATACGATCATCGGACAAGAAAAGGGCAAAGCGATTCAGGAGGCGGCGTTTCGCTTCAAAGGGCTTGTATTCCGTTTTGAACGTTTTGTACGAGATGACCTGCAAAAAAACAGAAGGGGGGAAAAAGCACCAGTGGGAGCCCCTGTTCCTCCACCATCCTGGTTACACAGTATGTATTTCCCTTTTTCCAGGGCTAATATAATTGCATAAATGGATGGATGCAAGTCTATTTCATCCCTGATATTCAATGTCTTAATGTACCGTTGTTTTTATGATCTTTGTAAGCCACCCAGACTTGCTTGACACTGGGTACTATATTAATTTAATAAGTAAGTTGAGGATTATTCGTACAAAGCAAGCTAAAAACCAAACCAATCACAGGAATCCAGTGCAACTGTGCAAGCAGCGCATCCAAGAAGCTGAAGAAGCGAGAATGGAATGAGAAGCGAAATGTCTTCAAAGGAAAAAAAAAACCCAAAGAAAGTCCAGTTGCCTCTTGAAAAAGCACCTTTGGGGCAAACCGTGACCTGGATGACTAAGAATCTTCATAGACCTTTAGATAAGCAGTGCAACTATGGTTTACTCAGCAAGCCATAACTACATGTTTAAAGAAACTCTGGCGGGCACCCTCTTTGGACCAGGCCAGTGTTTTGCTCCGTTCACAAAACAGAGACAGCAGATATAGGAGAAAGCACAGTTTTTCATTAAAGTTTCCATACCTCATTGATGCGTGTGATTCCATGTTGGTCCAGCAACTTCTTGTATAAGGTCTCAGTCTGTTCCGCGGTTAAGCCAGGTTCATCTTTGGTGAAGAGGCAAACCTCAGATGTGTCTGGCAGAATGCTATGAGGCAGGTTTCTAGGACACCAAACAGACCGCAGCCTTCAGCAAAGCAACAGCGGTGGGACCGCTAGAAGATGCAATTACAGGCGGTCCTCACCTTATAGCAGTTAATTTAGTGACCGTTTGAAGTTACAACAGCACTGAAAAAAAGTGACTTATGACCCTTTTGCACATTTAACAACGGTTGCAGCATCTCTGTGGTCATGGGCTCCAGATTCAGACGCTTGGCAACTGACCTCATTTATGACGGCTGCAAGGTCACAAGATCACTTTTTGCAACCTTGTCTGAAATGCTATAGGGCAGGGGTAGGCAACCTTGGCTCTTTTATGACTCGTGGACTTCAACTCCCAGAATTCCTGAGCCAGCCATGCTGAGGGGAAAGGGAGAGGTTTTCAAGCTGAGCCATGTTGGCTCAGGAATTCTGGGAGTTGAAGTCCACGAGTCATAAAAGAGCCAAGGTTGCCTACCCCTGGTCTAGACCATTTCAGACAAATGGCTGTCCAGCCTCTTCCTGGCTCAGGAATTCTGGGGGTTGAAGTCCACGAGTCATAAAAGAGCCAAGGTTGCCTACCCCTGGTATAGGGTTTCCTGCCTGAGCAGGGGGTTGGACTAGAAGACCTCCAAGATACCTTCCAACTCTATGATTATGATTACCTTTTGACAAGCAAAGTCAAAGGGGAAGCCAGATTCACTTAACATATATGCTATTAACTTAACAACTGCAATGATTCACTTAACCCGTGGCAAGAAAGTTTATAAAATGGGGCAAAACTCACTTAACTGTCTCACTTAGCAACATAAATTTTGGGCTCAATTATGGCCGTAAGCGGAGGTCTACCTGTATTGTTGTCCTTTATTCAACTTCAGGGCTGGCCAATCTTGGCAACTTTTAAGACCTGTGGACTTCAACTTCCAAAATTCCTCAGCCAGCCATGCAGAATTCTGGGAAATGAAGTTCACAGGTCTTAAAGTTGCCAAAGTTGGACGTGCCTGCTCTACATATAAGACCTCTTATTTTTGAAACTGGGCTAATTTCTTGCTGCATCTTAGTTTCTAATCTTCCTAGCATGCCCATTCATGAATATCGGTTTCACTGGGGTGAAAAAGCAGAACTAAAATACAGAGGTAGTCTTACATTTTGATTACTTGCTCCTTTGGTGGGATTTTCCAGACAGTAACCATCAAAAAGACATTCTGGGCTACGTCCAACAGCACTTTGTCTCTGGACTTCTGTTTGTTCGCATTATATGCAAGCAAGGCTTGAGTGGCTTTTTTGATCTGGAACAAAAATTGTGGTCGCTCATAGAATCTCCATGTCTCAAAGCCAAGCACAACACTTTGATCCAGATGTGCTGTTTTAGCACAGCCCTTAATCAAATTGGCCAAACAGGTTGGCAAATAAAGGCATTGTAATCTAACACCGATTGCAAGTGTATAGTATAGGATACAATTTCTCTGTGGTGGTGAAGGAATTGTGCAGGAAACCAAAAGTTCTAGTCCAGCCTGAGATTTGAAGCCAGCTGAGTTCCTCTCTCAGCCCCGGGGGGGGGGGGGGAAGCAAGGGGCTACCACTGCTAAAAGTCTTACGAAGAAAACTGTCACATTGAGGTGGAAGTTAAGGCTAGAAATGGGGGCGGGGCTGAGTTTTAGTACCGCTTTGGGCCAATTCCTCTCTCAGTCAGTCTAAGTCTAACCCTAGAGTTGTTGCTGCATGGCGAAAATAAGAGGAAGTAGCATTAGATATATTTGCCACCTTATTTATAAAAATAACAAAAGGCTGGATTAAAAAAATATGTAAAATTTAGAGCAGCTTTGGTCTAGTGGTTAAGGCAGCAGACTGGAAAGTGGGAGGCTGTGAGTTCTAGTCTTGCTTTTGGAGGCAGAAAAACCATCTGGGTCAGTCACTCCAAAACCAGCTTTGGGCCAGTCACTCTCTCTCGGCCCTAGGAAGGAAGCAATGGCAAACCATTTGTCTGAAATGGTATAGGGTTGCCTGCCTAAGCAGGGGGTTGGACTAGATGACCTCCAAGGTCCCTTCCAACTCAGTTATTCTATTCTAACCACAGCTGGGGGGGTGAAAAAAACCTTGTCAAGAAAACCGCAGGGATTTGGTCAGGAGACGAGATTAAGTCGAAAGCACCAAATAATATTAAGAATAACAGCAATAATTTACTGAAACGCCCGACTCTCTGCGGTGATGTTAATAGGAGGCAGTGCGAACCCGGGCAATTGGGTTCATCGGGCAACGCGTGTCGTGGGAACGCAACTCCTAGTAACCCCGCCGCCCGTGAAAAGGCAGCGTCCAGCGGCAGATTCGGGGTCGCTTCCCTGAAGCCCCCGCCTCACCTGGCTTTGATCCAAAGGCGGCAGCGCCGCCGGCTCCACCTTCGCCTCCTCCATGCTTCTCCTTCCACGTGGGACAGCCTTCTCGGGGCGTCGCCGGGCTGTGACGCAATCAGAAGGCGCGCCCCCCCCTTTCGCCAGAGAAGCGGAAAGGCACCATAGAGGTAAGAAAGGAATGCGGAGGGCAGAAACTTCCGCTCTTGAAACCGTCGAACTTGGGAATCGCCATAGAAATGAAACCGGAAGCTCGGGTGGAAATGCTAGAGAGGCCGATAGAACCAGGACTTCCGAGTTTGCTGGAGCACATATGGAGTAAGACTTCGGATTGGAGTTAAGAACGGAAAAAAGACAATGCAGAAATCTGGATTGTTTGGGGGCGCCCTATATAAAAGCCCCCCCCCAAAAGGTGGAGTGTCACAAAGTATTGCACATCCATTCCCAGCCAGCATGGGACATTTTTAATCCCTATAATAAGCCATCCAGCGTTTCTCAAACTTGGCAACTTTTGTGGACTTCAAGTCCCAGAATTCCCCAGCCTGCATGCAGTTTGCAGATAACCAAATGGTTTATCCAGGGAAAAGCAGGAACTGTATTAAATTGGACTCCAGGGTTGACCTCCAAATTTGTGACGCCCCCTAAAATTTGCTGGTGACCCCCCAAGAGATCGCAATAAATAACTAAATATATAAAAGTATTTATTTAACGTATGGCACAATACACTCTGATAGTATCTTTTCACTAGCCTCCACTAGTTGTGACCTTGCTTAGGTTTTACAAAAAACTGTCATTAATTGATGCTTCTTACTGTGACTCTGCGTATATGGAGAGGGGAAAGGGGATCCTCAAGATTCAAGTGCTCCAAGATCAGAAATAACTCAGTTCTTCAGCCAAGAAACAGATAATCAGCATAGCTCACTTTGCCAAATTTATTTTGCTGACCTCCCACCTTTCTATTAAACAAACATTTCATTAATGTTCAGAGGCAAGCATTCCATGGGTCATAAAGGTCAGAGTGAATAACTGAATCTGAAGGCAGCCAAGTCAATCTGCAGCATCCTTCTCCCACACATATGGGGCTGAGGGGGGGGGGTCAACTGAGGTGGCTATGCAGTAAATTCTGCTGCAGCTGGAGTGAGAGACAGGCTCAAAGATGCTTTTTCACGTCATTTTTCCTTTGAAGACATTTCGCTTCTCATCCAAGAAGCTTCTTCAGCTCTGACTGGATGATGAGGAATGGAAAGATTTATACTCTTCCATTCCCCACCATCCAGTCAGAGCTGAAGAAGCTTCTTGTATGAGAAGTGAAACGTCTTCAAAGAAAAACAAGAAAGTCCAGTTACCTCCTGAAAAAGCACCTTTGGGACAATTATGACCTGGATGACTGAGAATCTCCATAGACAGTGAGAAACAATGTGGGATACTTAAGGCACTAGACTAGAAATCGGAAGACTGTCGGTTCTAGTCCCACCTTAGGCATGAAAGTCAACTGTGGTGACCTTGGGGCCAGTCCTTCTCTCTTAGTCCTAGTAAGGAGGCAATGCCAAACCACTTCAGAGAAATCTTGCTGAGAAAACTACAAAGACTTATTGAGACTTTGGTGCAGAGATGAAGACACAAGGCTGGAAAACAGGAGACTGTGAGTCCTAGCCTGCCTTGAACACAAAGCCATCTGATTGTTTTGAGAACATGAATTTTTTTTGTTTCAGTTAGATTTTGGAATGAGTACCTTCAAGATGGCAGCTAGCCTAGCCCAGCTTTTTTTTTTTTGACCAGGCATTCTCCAAGTGTGTTAGGAGTGCATGCTTACATAATTCTCAGTGAACTATTGTTTTGTTGGGATTGGGGAATGACAGGGCAATTGGCTTGATACCAGTATATTATCTCATTTTCTTCTGCATGCCATGTCAGGCTCTTTTTTAAGTTATGGAATTCTATACAGAAACCTTTGCTCAAGTGTGAACGTTTATGCCCAAATACAGTTAGTAATCCAACATGTGAAAGAGTGCCAGACAGTAGAATGTTGTCTATTCTCCTAGCCTTTTTTTTAAAAGCTCCTTTCCCCCAATTTGTTACTTAAAAACAAGGAATGATCCACAGATAGTTTTGTTGAAAAAGTTACGATAATGTAAAGCTTTCGTATTACTGCCAAAAAATAATAATTAAAAGCCCAGATATTTGCAGACATAAAATTTATTTCAATTTCCATGCATTATGGTAGCTACAACTGTAGTCATATGAATCTGAAGGACAGTCAACTTTTGCTTCGTCCATACAATGTAGCCTTACATGAAATGGGACGTTCCACAGTTACAAAGGGGGGAAAAAAAGGGGGGGGAGGGCGGCAATATTTTAAATTTAGAGCTGTGTAAAATGAAACAGTTGTGTGACTGCCTATTTTTTTATTTTCTTTTTTTTTTTTAGAAATGGGGCACGTTCTCCTTGGAACATGCCAACCAGTTTGGAAAAGCATTTTGAACTTTGCATTTGGAAAACTGGCTTTCTGTAATGAATTCTAGAATAGGAAATACAGTTAAATAAGTATAAGCACCACTGTTATTCTCCTACAGCTTATATTCCTAGCAATGGTAGTGATGCTGCCTGCCACTCCTTGCCCAGGATACGAGCTTAGTATCCTAGTCTTACCAACTACCTCAATGCAGTGTTTCTCAACCTTGGCATCTTGCAGGTGTGTGGACTGCAAGTCCCAGAATTGAATGCTGGCTGGGGAATTCCAAGAGTTGAAGTCTACACATCTTCAAGCTGCCAAGGTTGAGAAGCACAGGTCTCAATCCACGTCCTGTCACTCAGCTTTGCTTCCTTGTAGGTTCTTGAAATTTCCTCATCCAAGCGCCCGGAAGCTGTGTTGGGGCTGTCACTTTCCGAAAACTCGACCCCAACATCTGAGAACTGGAACTTGGATAGATCTCCAGAAAACCATTTGGGGAAGGTGAAGCCAGCTCACATTGCCTGGTATGCACAAAAAAAAATTATAGACTCTGCTTGATTCTAACTCAAGATTTAAATGACTTCGCTTTGAGGACAAAGTGGCAATTATCGAGACAACATCCAGTTGTTGATTGAAGAGGATTTACACGCCTCTCTTACTCATCGCCTTCCCTTCAAATCAACCTCTCCAAAAAAAGAAAAAGAAAAACTACAAAGATTCTCCAGGCTTCCAAGAAAGGTAGCAGAGGAAGTTTTAAAATCCTAAGCTGGCGCCCGAGTTCAGTTTTCATACTGAACACGATGGCATGCCAGAGTTATTGCAAGAGTTGTGATATAACAGTCCAACTTGTTTTAGTCACCAGCCTGTGCTGCTAGAAAAAAAAAGATAATAACGATGATATTCTCCAGGACAGATTTGGAAGATCTTACTTTTTACCCTGTGCCTGCACACGTGTGTTAAATTAAGATTGAGATATATTGATGCATCGCTAATGAAATAGTACCATATTTGCATGAAGTTATTTGGATGGTTTTTGAACCCCTGAAAAGGATGGGGCAGAGGAAACTTTAATACGAGTTTTGTCAATGATCTAATTCCACGTTTCTCAATCACAGCAACTTTTAAGATATGTGGACTTCAACTCCCAGAATTCCTCAGCCAGTCGTGCTTACTGGGGAGTTCTGGGAGTTGGAAGTCCACAAGTATCTTAAAAGTTGTCGAGGTTGAGAAACGCTGGTGTAATTGCTTCATTTAAAACACAGTCGGGGATCTGTCAAAGATAGGAACCCGTTTTTTCCCCCTAGAAAACCCCGTCAAATGTTAACTCTGCAGGTTAAACATGAATGCGGCAGACATTACATCCGGATAGAAACGTTATTCCAAAGTAATTAAGATACCAAAAAAAAAAAAAAGATTTCAAATTGGAGAGTTTATTAACATGGTAATTGTGTTTTGCAACATGTGCACGCATGCACACACCTGAATGATCTGCCTTGAAAAATGCTTCCGTCTGATGGGAGGGGACAATTAAACAGAAATCCTGTAGACTTATTTTTTTTTTCTCATAATTCTAGGCAATTATGTCCACATCACTTACAAAGCTATTGCCAAATCTTTCCGAGGGAGCTGAATTTAGGAAGAGGGGGAGGAAGAGTAGGAGGAGGAACAACCAAAACAAAACAAAACAAAAAAAAATGAAATTTTTCAGGGGTAAAATTCAACAGTGGCATAGCAAAGCTCTCAATATGAGAAAGCTGACAATGTGGACCTTTGCTGTGAAATCTCATCTTTGCAAAAGAGGGGGGGGGCAGTGGGAAGAAAAGAAAGAAGGCAATGTGGAATAGGGCTCTGCAAAGTCATTTTTTCCCCCCTCTCCTTACAGTATTTGTGCAGGCTTGTCAAAAACAATGTTTAGTCCTTCTCTGGAACCAACTTCAGAACTTTACCAATTGCAATGGTTTTACCTAAAAAAGAAAAAGTTAGAAAAGCACCATTAGGAAACGGGTTTTTTTCCTCAGGGTCTCACATCAAATAAAGCAAAATATATGACGGCCGGTTTGGTCTAGTGCAGGGGTAGGCAACCTTGGCTCTTTTATGACTCATGGACTTCAACTCCCAGAATTCCTGAACCAGCCATGCTGAGGGGAAATAGGTTTCCCAGCTGAGCCATGCTGGCTCAGGAATTCTGGGAGTTGAAGTCCACAAGCCACGAAGGGACCATAGTTCCCCCATGCTGGCTCAGGAATTCTGGGAGTTGAAGTCCACGAGTCATGAAGGGGCCATAGTTCCCCCATGCTGGCTCAGGAATTCTGGGAGTTGAAGTCCACGAGTCATGAAGGGGCCATAGTTCCCCCATGCTGGCTCAGGAATTCTGGGAGTTGGTCCATGAGTCATGAAGGGGCCAAAGTTTCCCCCATGCTGGCTCAGGAATTCTGGGAGTTGAAGTCCACGAGTCATGAAAGGACCATAGTTCCCCCATGCTGGTTCAGGAATTCTGGGAGTTAAAGTCCACAAATCATGAAGGGGCCATAGTTCCCCCATGCTGGCTCAGGAATTCTGGGAGTTGAAGTCCACGAGTCATAAAAGAGCCAAGGTTGCCTATCCCTGGTCTAGTGGTTAAGGCACCAGGTTAAAAAGCAAGAGACCCGTGAATTCAAGTCCCATCTTAGACCAAAAAGCCGGCCTGGTGACTTTGAGCCAATCACCAAGTGACAATCAGTTTTCATCCTGCCTTTGGCATGAAAGTCAGCTGGGTGATTTGGGCCAGTCACCAGGAGACAGTCAGTTCTAGTTCCGCCTCTACCATGAAAACCAGCTGGGTGACCTTGGGCTGACCACTCTCTCCCAGCCCAACTCACCTCGTGGGATTGTTGCTGTGGGGGAAATTGAAGGAGGAAGGGGTGTTGGGTACGTTGGCCACCTTGTACCTTTTACCATTTGTAAAAAACGATAAGGCGGAATGTAAATAATCAAATAAAAATAAACACAAGGTCACTGAAGGAATGGTTTGCAAGTCGGGGACTACTTGTAGATTTGAAGGGCCGCTGTCCGGAGATCTGGATCTTACCCCAAAGCCACAAGAACCGTTTATGCTTGCCCTACCTTCGTCTCTTAAGGTGAAGCGGCCCATTTGAGGGAAGTCTTTGAATGTCTCGAGGCAGATCGTTCCTGCCGTCCGTAAACGGGCAATGCATACTTGATCTTGTTTGACAAAACGGGGCCGTGTTTTGCTCTTCTCTCCTGATTTCTTGTCTACCAGGCAGATTAAGGCCTGCGGAAGGAAAAGAAAACCTGTGTGTGTGTGTGTGTGTCACACACTCATTTCACAAACGGAAGCCTGAAGGAATGCTCTCCGTTTTAACATTTCCCCCCAAGTTCTTGCCATCTACTCCAAAGCATTTGCTGCTTTCATCCTTCCTCCAAAATGTGGAACTTTTCGGGAGGCATGGAAGCAGCTTCTCTCTAGTAGATCGAAGGAGCTGAGCTGATTCTGGTTGATTTAGGAGGTTGTGTGACTCTAGCCAATGCGGGTTAGGTACTAAAGCTTACGGTTTACTTCGGATAAATCCAACTGATTATGACCTCTTGAAAACAACACGAAGCTAGGCTAAACGTCTGTGGAGATTCTCAGGCATCCAGATCATGGTTGTCCCAAAGAGGCTTTTTCAAAAGGCAACTGGACTTTGTTTTTCCTTGAAGACATTTCAATTCTCATCCCAGAAGCTTCTTCAGTTCTGGAGCAGAACTGAAGGAGCTTCTTGGATGAGGAGAGAAACGCCTTCAAGGAAAAACAAAAGTTTGAAAAAGCACCTTTGGGAAAAGCTAGGCAAAACTTGCCTTTCCCCCTCGGACCCTTTTAACCAAAGATATTTGCTCTAAAGACTAGTTAATAATAATAATAATAGTAAAGTTGGAAGGGACCTTGGAGGTCATCTAGTCCAACCCCCTGCTCAGGCAGGAAACTCTATACCATTTCGGACAAATGGCTGTCCAGTCTCTTCTTAAAAACTTCCAGTGTTGGAGCATTCACCGCTTCTGGAGGCAGGTTGTTCCACTGGTTAATTGTTCTAACTGTCAGGAAGTTTCTCCTTAGTTCTAGGTTGCTTCTCTCCTTGATCAGTTTCCATCCGTTGCTTCTCGTCCTGCCTTCAGGCCCTTTGGAGAATAGCTTGACTCCCTCTTCTTTGGGGCAGCCCCTGAGATATTGGAACACTGCTATCATGTCCCCCCCTCGTCCTTCTCTTTGTTAAACTAGACATACCCAATTCCAGCAGCTGTTCCTTATATGCTTTAGCCTCCAGTCCCCTGATCATCTTTGCTGTCTTTGCCACAAGCGGGAATTTGTCGATCCCCAAACACTTACTGTAATCTCGACTTCTTCAATGCAGGTATGAATATGCAGCACCGCATTGTAACCTGGGCAGATGATGGATTTGTGTTCAATGATCACTATCTGTAATCAAGAAGAGGCCAGTTAAATCAATCTGGTTTCAGTAATGCCTATTCCAAATTGGGTGGCCCGATGGCTCAGTGGTTAATAATAATAATAATAATAAAGTTGGAAGGGACCTTGGAGTCCAAAGGTTAGTCCAGTTAAGACACTGGGCTTGTCAGCTGGAAAGCCGTCAACCCAGGTTTGAGACCCAAGCGCCAGGAGAAGGGATGAGCTCCTGTCCTCGCTCCAGCTGCTGCCAACCCAGCAATTTAAAAGCATGCAACTGCGAGTAGATAAATAGGTACCACTTTGGTGGGAAGGTAAGAGAGCTCCATGACATCATGCTGGCCACATGGCCACAGAAATGGCTGGCTCAATGGCCTTGAAACAGAGATGGGCGCTGCCCCTTCTAGTCAGCAACAGCTATTCCAAATTAGAGAACAGTCCTCCTTCAGGAGGCATACCTGAGCATCAAATGTGCGTCCAGAATGACACAGGTTATTAAGATCACAGAGTATAAACCCCGGGAGAATTTCCTCCTCTTCGATTCCTTTCAGTCGGATCTTCAGATTTTCACCTGGAGCTACAGCCTCGGTCTCTACGTCGTCGGAAAGGATCCCAAGGACTTCCACGTTGTGCTGAAAAAAAAAAAAAGAGATCGTGTCTCCATGACGTGTCGTGCGTGCTCAACAATATTTTAGGCTCATGCAAAAGGCTGAGTTGTTACCTGCCATCTACATATTGGATGATTTTTTTGGGGGGGATACCAAGATTAATATCTCATGAAATAACAGCATTGTTTTAGAGCGTCTTGCTTTTGGGGTTTACAATTACAACATGGTCTCCCAAATAAATATTTCTGCATGTAAAAGTCTATACCTCTGTCCAGGAATGCCAATAGAAGAGAATTTATTTGTAGCTCAGGATTGAATTGTGGGGTCCTTGGGGCTCTCTGAGCTTAATTGTGGGTTTTTTTGCAGACGTTTCATTATCCAGCCAGGTAACATCATCAGTGCTAAGTAGCACTGATATTATCTAGCACTGATGATGATAAGGATTACCTAGCACTGATGGTGTTACCTAGTCTACTTTAATTTCTGAAATTGGGTGGCATATAAATTTAACTAATTATCCTCATCATCCTGAGACTTCACTCGCTGTCACTTTATTACTCCAGAAATAATACTCCATTGAGCCAGCACTGTCCCTGTCTAAGGAACTATAACTACTGAATGCGTATTTTTTAACCTGGAATTTTCCGTGTCCTTTTCTTAAGGAACTCACAACCAATGTTTTTTTTTCCCTTTGGCAAGCAAACTGAACAATGTAGGAAAACATTCCGTTTTTAAGACACACATATGAAACGTGTTACTGTATTTTGAATTAAAAACTCTTGGGATGGGGGATAGAAATGTCCCTCTTTTTGTCACGAACCTGCTGTTTTGACTGCCCCAACAAAATCGGGTAGGATTGCTTTGGTCTTCAATCTTTTGAAAACTAAGGACCTAAACATGGCCCTGAGCCAGACAGACAACCCTCATGCCGGTTATTTATAACTTCAGAAACCACATCCCATCCACTAAAATTTGAGGACTGGCGGAGAGCCAAAAGTTGCGAAACGAAGTCCCTTGCTTGAAGGTAAACATGCAGAGAAATATGTGTTTTAAAGGCAAGAATCAGGGTAGAAAGAATGCCTGGCTATTTAATAACCACCACAGGCCTTAAGAACTCAAGTCAGTTTTATTATTTTTCCTTGTTGGCTTTCCACATCCTAACAGTAGTACTGCAGATTTTTCACTGATTTCAGGGAGAAATACGGAGCTTCTGAGCCCATCTTTAGGATTTGGGCATTGTCTCCAGCTAGAACGAAAATTAAAAAAAATATATCTAATTTTCTTTCAGAGCCAGAGTGAGAACATAGGAAGACTTTACCATAAGCCTTAAATAAGACTGCATTTTTTTTATCACTGTGAACTTAGGCACCCTACCCCAGCCTCTCCTGAAAATAGTGAAAAGCTACATTTGGTCCACAGTTTTTTCCCCATTAAATACTAAACACTTAAGCAGTGTTCCTCGCTCTGAAAAGTTTGCCCATCTCTGGCATATAGTTTTACCGAAGACAGATGACGTTCGGTTTTTGCTTTCCTGCCAACTGTTCAGGAAATATGACATTTATGCAACTGCATGAAATTTGAACCCCCCTTTCAGGAACATTTCTGGGAAAGGATTAAGCGTTAAGGGAACATCTGCTCGAGGTTTTGATGACCCAAACTCTGTCCTTGCTGAGCAGGCTTTTTTAGAGTGGAAAAGCAGATGGCTAGGAAGTTAACCCTCACACATATTTCTCAGTTAAAATTCAGTGAAGGGTAAGCACCTTCCGAGCGGTGTGAGCACCTAATTAACATCGGAAATCATTTTTTTCAAACAATCCATTTTGAAATATTCAGAGTAATCTGCCTGTATTTTTTATTTCCCCGCTTCTTATTTCGTTTTAATTGTTTCTGAGCTTTAAAAAGATTCGTGCCAAGTTTCTTCTGAATCCTACCTCTTGACGGTAATTTCTATCCAAATATTGCTTTTGGGGTGCATCTTCTGCCAGGTCTATGCACTGGGGAGTTGTTAATACTGTATCTCTGTATTTGTACTTTCTTTGTGTGAAAACACTGAAAAAGGCTGGGCACAGAAATAGAAAAGCTGCATTCTAGCAACTTCCATTATTTTTTTTGCTTCATTCAAGCTTCTATTTCTAGAATGTATCTGCAAACCTGGGAGTGGTTTTGCCAAGAACTGCTTTTTTATCTCTACCTCCTGTTTGACTGCAGAGATTCAAGGATACTGCAGAACACAGGACGGGCTCAAATCTTAAAGGCCAACCACTCTGGGACGTTTGAGGAGAAAACAAAAACCCAAGTGAGCAACAACCTCATTGTTAAACAATTCCTGTGGGAAATGGGAGGCTCCAGAATTCAATACTGTAATAGGAGTATCTGTTTACTCTCTTTTCTTAAACTAACAGGGCTGTCACGTTCTTTTACAGGAAAGAGGAAGAAAATAAACTTTGCATATCAGACTTTGACCTAATAATGCAATCTGGTCTTCAGCTTACTGATATCCCCTGCAAAATTCATCCTCCGCCTTGCCGGTTGCGATTGGTACCCCGTTATCTGCTATTATAAAGCAGCAGCCCAAATTTAAAGAGTTCCTTTAACTAAACCAGGGGTGTCCAACTGGCTGAGGAATTCTGGGAGTTGAAGTCCCCAAGTCTTAAAGTTGCCAAGGCTGGACACCCCTGCTTCAATTCTGGGAGATGAATTCCCCAAGTCTTAAAGATGCCAAGGCTGGACGCTCCAGAATTAAACATTTGCTAGATGAACTGAAAGAGGCTTAAAGATAAAACACGACATACCTTGTTTGGCATCATCACGAGCTGCTGTCCTTTGCAAATAGACCCCGATTCCAGTTTACCCAACACCACCGTGCCCATATCCTTCGCGTGGGGGGAGGGAGAGAATGAGAAAACAACAACCAGGTTAAGAGAATATGGTCAAAACAGGGTCTGATTCCCTTATCAAGAGTTAACTGTGCCATGTGACTGCCCCCCTAAAGCAAGAGTATTATACTTTCCAGGTTAAGTTGCGTACCTACTCCTACTCCTACACTAGTGTTGGAATTGTACCTTTTACTTATCAACACAAATATACCTAGTATTTATGTAGTTGCGTACCTTATATTTATCAACAATTGGCAGCCTGATTGGTCCATCAAGTGATCGGTTGAAATTTGGCAAGTTATCCAAATATGGAATAAATGGTAGCCCGCTGGAGGGGGAAAAAAAAAAAAAAGAGGAATACAGGATCAAAATCTATGGTACGTTTTTGATTATGGACAAAATTTCTATCCAGGATGCAACTAACATCTAAACCCAGCAAGGTTCTTTGTGAGATATACTCAAGTGGAGGTACCGGATGGGGCTGCAGGAGTTAAATCCTGCCTTTTTATCAGCAACTGCGGAGAACGTGAAGAACTCAATGAACAGAGTGTTCTATCCTCAAATATCAAATGTGACATCTTGATTCTCTTTGGGCAAACTGAAACGTGGCAATACTTCATAGCCTAGTTGTCTGCTTGTGTTAGATACGCTCTTGTGGGCCCCTGTGCGATCTTCAGAAAAATGCGCCGCGGTGAGAGGGTCCTTCCTTAACTTGGCAGCCTCTGGTGTCTGGGGCCCCAATCCCCATAATCCTCAGCCAAAACTGTAATTGCACAGAAAGATCACTTGGGAGCCACTTGCACTAGTAGAGCAGGGGTGTCAAACTTGCAATGTCACATGACTTTTTTTTGCCGTTGCCGGCAATAGGGTGGGCGTGGTTTCGCTATGATGCATCCAGCCCGCGGGCCGGCAGTTTGACACCCCTGCACTAGAGGACTGTTTCTCAACCTCGGTACCTTTTAAGATGTGTGGACTTCAACTCCCAGAATTCCCCTGGCTCCATTCAGTCGCCCTGTCTCCTCCCCAAGGGGAATGATGCAAGGAATTACAGCAGGGGTCTTCAAACTTGGCCACTTTAAGACCTGTGGACTTCAACTCCCAGAATTCCTCAGCCAGCCCCTGAGGGCTGGCTGAGGAATTCTGGGAGTTGAAGTCCACAGGTCTTAAAGTGGCCAAGTTTGAAGACCCCTGAATAACAGGGTCGTAGAAAGAAAGGAAAAAAATGTGGCAAAATGAGATACTTACATATACCAAGGGCAAAAGTCAGATGGCTCTTTGAGATTCGCGCCAGTCAGTCCCGAGCAGGGCATGAAGTGAATGTCCTTTTTGGGGTTGAACCCCACTTTCTTCAAGAATGGCACCAGTTTTTCTTTACATTCTTCATACCTGAAAGATGGGCCACGGGGGAGAAAAAAAATATATGAGAGGCTGAGACGAGCCATCAAGCCACTTAGCCAGAGAGGCTGGCTAAGAACAGAATAAAACTAATAGCAGGACATTGACTGAATGTAAAGACTGAATGTAAAAGTAATTAAGATATGTATAACCTAAAAACGTATTGATAAATGTAATAATGATATTTTTATTTAGTTGATATAATAAGAACTGTATTAGCTTAAATATGAGATAGTAGATATTAAGGGGAAAGGAGAGGAAATATTTGAGGTTGTAGTTTGAGATTTGTTATCAAAACATTTTGCATGTTACTGAACTATTGATTAACCCAGACACCACGTTGCTTTTTAAATACCAAAATGTAAAATTAGAAAATTAATAAAAAAATTTATATATATAAAAAAATATTTGGTGGTCCAGCGTTGTCAGTCTCTCGTCACCATCCTCACCCTCATGCAAGTTTCACCTCAAAATAGAGCCACCGGAAGTCCTCAACTAATGACTACAACTGGGACAAGAATTTCTGTTGCCTCGCTGTTCAGTGAGTCATGATTTCACCACCTTTCCCCCCAAGGTTGTTAAATGAATCGCTGTCATTGTTGTTAAGCCAATCTGCCTTTTCCCTTTGACTATGCTTGTTGGAAGTTGGTAGGGAAGGCCACACCTAGCGATCCCTTGACCCTGGGATGGCGCAACCTCATAAATGCGTTGCCAATCGCCCCAATGTTGATCGCAGGAGTACAAGCATGCGGCGATGCTTGCAAGGGTGAAGACTGGTGCCCAGTCACTTTTCCCAGGGCTGTTGTAACTTCAAACGGCCACTAAACAGGTGGCTGTAAGTTGAGGACAACCTGCACGCTAGAATTGAACTCAAATTGAAGTCAAATTCATACCTTTCGACTAATGGAGAAAACTAGCATGGGGTTAAAGTCTCTGGAGATTCTTAATCCTCCAGATCCTGGTTGTCCCAAAACTGTTTTTTTTCAGGAGGCAACTGGACTTTCTTGTTTTTCTTTGAAGACTTTTCATTTCTCATCCAAGAAGCTTCTTCAGCTCTGACTGCATGGTGGGGAACGGAAAGATTTATACTCCTTGCAGACAGCTAGTCATTTGCATCCTTTTCAAGACTCCACCATCTAGTCAAGAGCTGAAGAAGCTCCTTGGATGAGAAGCAAAACATCTTCAGAAGAAAAACAAGAAAGTCCTGAAAAAGCACCTTTGGGGCTAGCACAGGCTTCCACACGTACCTGCTTTCATTAGGGTAATTACACCTGATCTTTGGACTTTCTCCATCCAAAGTGTATGAGCCCGGCTCCATTTCTGGAAGTTATCAGCCAAATACTCGCTACTCTTAACGTGCAATTTTGGCACAAAGCAGAACTGAACTCAAGTACTTGCCTTTCGTTACTCCAGTTCACAGTTGGGTCGTCCATTTTGTTAATGAGAACTATTAAGTGTTTTACACCCGCCGTTTTTGCTAGCATGGCGTGCTCTCTCGTCTGCCCTCCTTTCTCGAAACCTGTTTCAAATTCCCCTTTTCTCGCAGAGATTACCTGGTTGAAAGAATAAATCTAGTTAAAGCTTTGGAGGGTCGGGCTACCATGCAATCTGATTTGCCTCTGGGTAGTAAGATGATTACCAGACAGCTCTCAAAGTAAAAGCTTTGCTTTAAGGTTTTATGCTGAGAATTACGACCAGCCCACGGGGTGCCTACATGAGCAATTTTTTATCACTGATACCAGTTTCACAATACAATCTCCTGAACAGGTACACGGTGAGTTAAAAAGGTGTAACCAAGCAGGTCACTCTATATACAGTAGCTACAAGAACTGCACAGGTCCTTTATAGACTGCTATAGCACAATATTTAAATAGCCATTTCTATAATTACTGGACTTAACAGCAAAAATAAACTACGCAATGACAATACAATAAAAAAAATAACAACAAAATGAAAAAAAAAACAAAGGGCAAAAGTCTACAGAACCAGTCCCGAGGAAAAAATATTAATATATAGGCAAACTCAACCTTTTCCTTGTTAATAACTTGAGACCATACTGAAAAATACTGCTTCATTTTCTTATTTCTCCAGTAGAAGAACATTTCAAAGATTGATAGAGAATCTAATACATGTTTTTATTATACTTTTTAATCTGCTTTACTGTTAATTTTTCAGCGCCAGCTTACCAGCTACTGGGCAATTTTAAAATAAAGAACACAACTATAAAACAAAGGTAGATGAATTAAAACAGTTCTCCAACTGATCCATAAACAAGAAAGGCTCTTACCAATACAGCTAAATCAGCTTGAGAAGCACCACCTATCATATTTGGAACGAAGCTCTTATGCCCTGGAGCATCTAAAATTGTGAAGTGTTTCTTTTCTGTTTCGAAATACGCACGGCCTACTTCCACCGTTTTCCCCTTGTCCCGCTCTTCCTGGTTTGTGTCTAAGGCCCAAGAGAGATACCTATTACAAAAAAAAAATAAGAAGGGAAATATCTGATATAAAATTGATTAATTACACTCGTTCTTGGGAGAATTTATGATAGGTTCTATCCTAAAACTTTATTCGAACGTTCTCAGCCTTCCCAACAGCTACGCGAAATGCTTCTATATTTAGGGGTGTGTCCAACCTTGGCCACTTGCTGGCTGGGGAATTCTGGGAGTTGAAGTCCACACGTCTTAAAAGTTGCCACGACTAGACACCCGTGTTCTATGCAGTTGTGGGTTTTATTTTGGGCTCTGGCATGTGTCTCAGGAAATGGGACGTGCAAGGGATTATCTGCAGGCAGGGGAGTAAAATAAGTTAAGATGGGGGTCACAGCCATGTGATTGAAGCCACACCCCCTTTGTACATCTGTTGTGAATGGCGAATGCAGGTCTAAATTTGCAACTGATATATGTGGGTTGGTACTGCGTTCTTCTAGATTGTTATCAATTTCTCAGTCCAGTTTACAGGTTTGAGGTTTCCTCCTGTTCTCTCTTCCACGGGACAACCAGATTTCCTTTCCTCGGGAAAAATCTACTCTGTGTGTCGTGTTCTCTCAGGACAGCTTAAGATTCCACTGAGGTATAAGGCTATGTCTACTCTTTATTGTCTATTTGCCAACTCACTGCATTTTCCCAATTGCAAAAAGACTTTCTTAGCTGCTAATTGCTCAGAACTTGGCAGAAGAGCTAATTTCCCTCTGGAAAATGAACCCAGACAATTACAAATCAAATTTATAATGAACTGCCCAAGAACCTAAATTGAAATGATTTGTGATGACATTATACCAACACTGGGAATTCCTCAAGCAGGCAAGGGGGATGTTTGGGATTACAGCTTTTAATTGGCATGACATCCATTCCTTGCGCAGACAATGCTCAAGGTCAGAAATGTAGTTCAGTGTTTCTCAACCTCAAGAAGTGTGGACTTCAGCTCCCAGGATTCCCCCAGAGAGCATGCTGTGGCACCCATGCAGCCCATTCACCCCCCCCTCCTTTTTCCAGCTAGCTCCATGATGAAACAACCTAGAAATTGTGTTAAGCCTGTTGCATTTATTTATAGAACTGGAAGCCTAATTTTATCTTGATGTACAATTTCTCGTGTCTTCCAAAGTCAGCAAGCCAGGATCCGGTTCAAACACTCAGGGATTCTGAAAGCTAGGCCAAGCACATCTGGAGGACACGAGGCAAGGAGAGGCTATCATCATTTAACGGGGGTTAAATTTTAAAATGTAGGCTTCGTACCAGGTTTCTCTGTTTTTTTCTTTAGCTTCTCTTTCATATTTTTCGAGCGTTCTTTTATCAACCATGCCGGTCAAATACCTGAAAAGAATTCGGTACGTGAGATACGAAGAAGGAACACATGGAGTAGAAAGCAGTTTTAACAGAGTTGCAGTTTTGTTTTAGAAAAAGAGCAAGGACAGGTTTCCTTGACTTACGACCAGTCCCCTTAGTGACGGTCTGAAGTTACGATGGACCCCGCCCCAAAAGACACTTACAGCCCAGTTCCAACATTCCAATAACCCCCTGAAGTCACATGACCAAATTTTGAGTCCTCGGCAACGTGTCCCATGGTCACGTAACCACAATTTTAAAAAGGTGTGCTTTACAACTGCAATGCTTGTTTTACGACTGTAGTGTTTGCTATACAACCATGGGTGTTTGCTTAATGGCCACCACAAAAAGGTTGTAAAATCAGACCGGACAGGTGTCCCATTTTACAACCATCAACACTTATGACCGTAAATTTGTAAGTTGAAGTCTACCTATGGAATGAAATGGCTTGAGCAGAAACTGAACCCCATTTGGGCAGTCTATGGTTTCAAGAATGCACAGCTGCAGATAAAATAAAGCAGTGGTTCTCAACCTTTTTAATGCCGTGACCCCAACCGGTTGTAAGTCGAGGACAACCGGTCGTAAGTCAAGGACTAAACCGGTCGTAGGTTGAGGACTACCCAACCGGTCGTAAGTCGAGGACTTTCCCTGCCCGGGAGCGCCGCGCATGCGTGGTTCCGCCCCCTGCGCCGGCCGAGGCGTAGCTGGTAAGCGGCAGAGTCGGAGCAGGCCGACCACCAGCTGGCCCAGCTCAAGGGAGGTAAGGCACCCGCCGGAAAAGGGAAAAATGGCGGACAGCCTTGCTTGGCGACCCCCGTGAAATGGTCGATCGACCCCAAATGGGGTCCCGACCCACAGGTTGAGAATCGCTGAAATAAAGTGTTCAAAACTTTCCCTCCGAACGAATTGGGAAGATCAAGAGGTGGCAGGTTACGAAGTGGAGAGAACAGTAGCAATGCCGACCAACGTTTTAACAAGCTCTCACAAAAATGGAAAGTTATTTTCTAATAAAAGCGTGTCAGATTATCAGCTGCAGTATTCTTTGATTATAATTATACCTTTTGATTCAGACTAAAAGGCCAGCTAAAAGATGACTGAATCAAGTATGTATGGGGGGGGGGGAATTACTTACATTATTTGCCCTCCAATTGTTGATTTTCCAGCGTCTAAAAAAATAAAAAGGTAGACAAAAGATATTTAAAATCAGCTCTTCGTGAGCAGCTAAGCTATTTAATTCCTTTTTGTAAAGGACTCAATTTTCCCATCAGCATATGCCTTTGTCCTATATAATTGCACAGAACTAATAATTTAGGGTGGATTTTTTTTTNCCCATCGACCGGTACGCTCCCATAGAGTGGGTCTCCTCAGGGTGCCGTCAACCAGACAGTGCCGGCTGGCGACCCCAAGGGGGAGGGCCTTCTCTGTGGGAGCTCCCACCCTCTGGAATGAACTGCCCCCAGAGATCAGGGTTATCCCTGATCTCCCTTCCTTTCGCCGCGCCCTCAAGACTTGGTTATTCCAGCTTGCGGGACTGGCCTAGGGTAATTTTTAGGGGGGTTTTAATTATATTTTAAATTCGACAAATATTTAAATATTCCTTTTAATCAATTTTAAATTTGTATTGTTTTGTATGTATTTTAAATAGATTGTCAGCCGCCCTGAGTCCTACGGGAGAAGGGCGGGATATAAATCCAAATATAAATAAAATAAAAAAATAAATAAATTCCCCTCCCCTGCTACTATTCTAGGTTGCTCGCGTACCACCTGCCAGGTGCCAATGTACCACAGCTGGTACCCGTACCACTGGTTGAAAAGCCCTGCTCTAAACTGATGACATGCTTCACTCCGCCCGCAGCCCTGCCTGCTCTTCTCCTACAGTGGATCAAACTAGGGAGGCAAGTCCATGGAGGACCATTCGCTGTCTGAATATTGCCTTCAAAGTCACTTCTCGGGCTCTCTAGCGCAACTTACCTACGTGTCCAATGAACACCACGTTCACGTGTTCCTTCTTCGGAGCACCCGGGGGCGCTACCATGGATTTGGGTTTTGGCATCTCCTCCTCTTCCTCCATCATTTCCTGGGTGCTCTCTTCAATGGGCCCTGCGTCGCCGGAAGGGCCACTTGCTAATTCGGGTTCAATGGCTTCTTCTTTGTGGTCCCACGATTCCTCAGGGGACACTGCCGTTTCTCCATTTTCTACTGGGATGGAATAAAGGAGAATCAAGGAGAAACGTCCTAACAGTCAGGACAACTAACCAGTGGAACAGCTGGAGACTAGAGAGTCGCTCAGCTGAAATGGTATAGGTTCTCCTGCCTGAGCAGGGAGCTGGACTAGAAGACCAGCTCTATTCTAAATGTAAAATGCAAATAGTTACTTGAAGGAGAGGAACGTTTTTCAGTGGCTTTCTTGGGAAGGACAGGAGAAGGCTTAGCAAGACTACTACAGAGGGGTTGCCTGTTTTAAGTTCCAGTTTTCATTTATTTTCCTCTGTCCCCCTGGCTGAGTGTTGAGCTGCACGTTTAAATTTTCATTTTCGCAGCCCCCACTTGGAGGCTGATTGTAAGTAAATAAAGTCAAGCCGCCTACTATTCATGAGATTTGGCTATTTTAACACAGAAGCCCTTTTCTCAACTACAGGGGTAGGAATGCTGAAAATAACCTCCAGACCATAACATTTTAGTAAAAGGTATGCTGGAATTCACTAAGGGAGCTGTTTATGAGAGCTACTGAATGCTAGTCGCCTTTCCTTTCTCCTTCTCTGTTTATTTTCCTATGACAGTGATGGCGAACCTTTTAGAGACCGAGTGCCCAAACTGCAACCCAAAACCCACTTATGCATCGTCGAGTGCCAGGCGGGTGTGGCCCATTGACTGGGTGTGACCAATTGGGTGGGTGTGGCCAATTGGGTGGGCATGGCTGCAGTGGTAACAGCAGAGTGGGTGGGACTAAAAAGTTCAATCAATCAATTCCAACTTTGCAAGAACATTTTTTTTCCCGCAAGAAGTTGAAATTGACTGATTGAACCTTTTTTTTTTTTTTTTTGCACATGGCGGCGGAGGCCTAAAGCGAAAAGGTTTTATAAAATCCAGCTGAAAGCCTAGGACTGGGGCGACAACACGCGTGCCCACAGAGAGGGCTCTGAGTGCCGCCTCTGGCACCCGTGCCATAGGTTCGCCACCACTGTCCTATGAAAACTGAAAGTACGGGTTCTATCCATTTGGGAATTAAAAGCAAACTACCACCCCAATCTTTCCTGATGGGGATAGTTGACAGCTTCCATAATGCTTAGCTGTGAGGACACCAGGCTGGAAAAGGCTGTCAAGGGGAGGGTTAGCTGCCATTCTGTGATTTGAAATAGCTTTATTAAACAAGGGTAAATGCAAGCCCTGGATCTCACTCCGAGGCAAGGAAAGTGACTATCCTTGGGGGGTGTCCTGATGTCAGCATTGCTTTCTCCATATGGCTCCTTAAATTACTGATCTTCTCTGCCTCTGCCGTGAACATTTGCACAAATACTCACACACACACCCCCCAAGCACTACTTCTCAAGAATGGGAAAAAAAGCGGTTGCTGGTATTGCTAAAATGAACCTTTGCAGATCTACTGCAGAGCCTCTGGGACCCACCACTAGCCAGGGGAACAACATACCATTCTAGAAAAACTGCAAATTTAATCATCTCTCAGCACCTAGCTTTTCAAATTGGCCTAGCAGTTCCACAAACCAGAGAGGATCATAATAAGGGACCAATTGGGAAGAACATCCAGGTTGCAAGGCAAAAAGAGGGGGGGGGGGGTGTCAGTTCAAGCTATGCTATGTGGTTTCTTACCAACTGGTTCGGAGATTTCCATACCAATGGCAACGTTTGACCCTAGAAGAATAAAAAGAAGTAGGTTAAAGAGGCAGCATTGGCTCAATCGTCCCGGTTCATATTCTTTTTGAGCACCGGACTAATTGTTATTTGTTCACTGCACAGTCAGGTCAGATGCTCAGACTGGATTTGGCATTTCTATCCACCTCGCGAGTCCTTCCCAAGCACCCGGGAGAGACAAATGTGGATGGCTGATGCTGTTACAGTTATAGGTTGCAGGATGTAAGCCAGTGGTTCTCAACCTTTTTAATGCCGCGACCCCAACTGGTCGTAAGTCGAGGACTAAACCCGTCATAAGTCAAGGACTAAACCGGTCGTAAGTCGAGGACTAAACCGGTCGTAAGTCGAGGACTACCCAACCGGTCATAAGTCGAGGACTTTCCCTGCCCGGGAGCGCCGCACATGGGTGGTTCCGCCCCCTGCGCCGGCCGAGGCGTAGCTGGCAAGCGGCAGAGACGGAGCAGGCCGACCACAAGCTGGCCCAGCCCAAGGGAGGTAAGGCACCCACTGGAAAAGGGGGAAAAAATGGCGGACAAAAAAAATGGCGGACAGCCTTGCTTGGCGACCCCCGTGAAATGGTCGATCGACCCCAAATGGGGTCCCGACCCACAGGTTGAGAACCACTGATGTAAGCTGTTTCAAGCAAAGCTGCCTTTTGCAATTGACTAATGGTGATCTTGTCAATGCCAGTGGTGTTCAAGGGGTGCTCCAATCGTTTTGGGATTGCACCCAAGGCTCCTATTACTATTGGTACTATTATTATTATTAAATTTATATGCTGCTCATCTCACTGTCAAGCAACTCTGGGTGGCTTACAACGTGACAAAAGCAACAATATAAAACATCAAACTAATACAAATGAGCTAAGATAGGAACCAATACACAACAGCGTGGGGTGGGAGAGGGTCTTCTTTTTAATCCACTCACCACCTCCAGCATGAAATGCCTCCATTGGGGCCCCAAGTCAGGTAGGAGAGCCAGTTTTTGAGGCCCTGTCAGAAAGCCAAGAAGGTGGGGGCAGATCTCACCTAGAGGGCTATGATGTTCTAGATTACTTCTAATTGTATAAAAGCTTCACAAATTTGTTTCCTAATCCCAATAGCTCAGCTTGACGTTTGTCTCACATACACACAAAAAAGAAAATGTATTACCTTCACAAGACGGCAGGTGTTCGTGTGATGATTCTGCCGACGCCCCTTCAAAAAAAAATATATCAACACTGAAATAAATATTTGGTGTAACCTCAGGGAAAATTCAAGAACAAAAGTGGGGGGTTTTAGATGATTGGAGACTCCTTGTCTCATTCTGGACAAATGGCTAGCCAGTCTCATCTCCTGCCTTTGTTTCAACTCATTGGTGTCCAGCCTTGGCAAAGTTTAAGACTTGTGGGCTTCCACTCCCAGAATTCCCCAGCCAGCATACTCCCTTCAAAATACTCTAAAATGTTGTTTCCTTTCCCAAATAAGACGCGTTTCAACAATGCTACTCTTCCATTTCCCAGGAGGACTATTATACAAAACTGTCAGGGCTGAACAAAACCCAACTCAAATCCTTCGCCCCTTAAAAGCTATTGAGCTCCATGGATATTCACGCAATCTGGATCCAGAGCACAATCAAGTTCCGGTTAAAGAAAAAAAAAATTCAGCGTAGTTCTTAATGATTAATCATCCTTTCAGGAGCACCCAATCCCGACAAGTAATGTTTTCAGAGAATCAACTCTTGAAAACTATCAAGGCGGGGAAATTGTGACCTCATATTCTTTTGGAAGAGCGGAATAAAAGTTGCATCAGCTCTGATGCAGGAAGTGTGACGTATTAGAAGCTGCCATGCTCTTAAAAGAATCCTGCGTAGTTCTGTTGAAGCCATCAATGTGTACTTTGTTTGTGACTATTGCACAACCTGGCTGGGATAAATACTTAAATCTGCAGGATTTTTCCATTCTCTTTGCAAAGGAAATTTTTTTGTGCAAACACTGGACGGTGTTCTACCAAACTTATAAAAAAGCATTTGCTTGCTTCGTATAAGATAGCTTGAGTTGGAAGCTCTTGAAGCCAAGTTTGAAGACCCCTGGCTTAGGCTGAGACCAATGGGTCACAAGCCATGTCTTAGCCTAAGCCAGGGGTCTTCAAACTTGGCTCTTTCATGACTTGTGGACTTCAACTCCCAGAATTCCTCAGCCAGCGTGCCTGGCTGGCTGAGGAATTCTGGGAGTTGGAGTCCAGACCCCTGGCCTAAGCCATCTCACAAGCTTGTGATCATAACACAAACTGATCTAAGCACATTAGCCTCAGCGTTTATATCAATGCAACAACAACAGATGAAAACCAACAATTTTA